TCAATTTTGGGTACAATATTTGATATCTTGTTGTACAATGAGCATAATCTAGAACGTGGCCGATGTAAACCCAAATTAGTTCTACTTCTAGGAACGTGAAAATGTTTATAGCTTAAGCTTAAGGAGTTCATTTTGAAGAAGTCAAGTCTCAAATTGTAAGGATGACGATGGGTAATTTCAGGCGCAACGAAAGCCAGTTGCCTCATGAAAGCACGCTGTAATGATTCCATTCGCTGAGACTGCTTGCTATATTCTAAGCGACACTAGCATATTCAAGCCTACTTCGAACCAAGGAGTTATAAAGTAATATCCTTTTTCCACATTGCCTGAAACCGCCAGAGATGCGCTTCCAAGAAGTTTGGCTGCTTTCGCTGCAGTATTATCGACCTATGTCTTAAACTTGAGCTTATTGTCCAGTATTATACCCAAGTCTCCTATTTCATTGACCTTAGACAGGGAGCAGTCATTTATATGTTAACATGTAGCTATAGGTGTTGTATTTGTGACTTTGAATTAATAAATCCATTAATATTTAAGGAACACTTTATTTCAAGATGAGCCAATACATGAGAGAGAGAGAACCGTTTTCTTTCTCTTATATAAAACTTATAAGTACACAAAGGCATCTTCTTATACAGCCATATACTATATACAATGGGAGTCATCTTTTTAGTAAAAGTGATGTAATAGCATTTACCTCCATTAAGAGTCATGTCGTTATTTTCACACCATGATCAAATATTAAGGAGATCACGTTGAATAAATTTTTAAGTCATCGTGAAACATTGATATTTGGCTATGTTGTAGTTGTATAATAAAGTTATATCGTTGATAAACAGTAAAAATAAGATTGATCCCAGGTGTGACCCCTGGGGGACGCCAGATTTGGCATAGAAAACACGATTGATATACCTACCAGAAAAGAGGCTCTGTTTTTTTTCAATTCCATTAATAATAAATAGATTCTCATTTTGTCATTTCAAATAATTTTTGTATTAAAACAGTGATTTATGCGGACATAGGAAGTGGAGCATCAGTGCAACATCATAATCTTACGATATAAAACAACAACGCTGGCCGGTAATAAAACAATTGTATGTAGACGAAGAAAAATCGAAAACAATTTCACTTTTAACCCAGTAAAAGTGTAGCGGTGACTAAGCGATGCGCTTCGTTTGATCATAACTGCGCATTTGTTTTTATAACAAACGATATTTTTGTTTTATTTCGAACAAAGAGAATACGCTTTGTTTTTTAGAAGGTAAGAGGTCATACATAAATGACGTCATATTTATATGCGTGTTATTTATATGTATATATATATTTAATTCGTGATATTTACATATATGCCCACTCCCCCTTGTCACATTTTATCAAATAAATCTATTAAATATCGTTCTAAAGTCACCCCCCCCCCCCCCCTAAAGTCTGACGTTATTTATAGGTGGCCCCTAATAGGTCGTATAAAACTTGAATGGATCATAAAGATGTTCATTTTATGATCCATCCAAGTTTTACCAAGCAAGATGTATATGTATTTGTAGCGAAATATGATTGTTATTAAATACTTTTAAAAATATATTCATTAGAACTTTATTGAGTACGAATAAAGACATTAAGTGCATTGTTATTAGCTATAACAAAGTCGCTTCTCGCTGAGATCTTTTACAATGCACGACACATTTTAAAGAATGGTTCAAGAGGAACCTTCCTCTTTAGGTTTATGTATTACAGGATATTAAACCTTATTTTCTATTTTATTTTTGAATATTAAAAAAAAAACTAAAAGGAAAGAGTGAATTTATAAGAAAAATGTATTCTAAATTTAAAAAAACAGTAGGTAAGTGGCATTTAAAAATGTTCTTTTTCAAACGCTTAATGTAACTATAAGCATTATTGTTAAATACGATGCTATCGACCTTTTTGGCAGGCGTTGGCCTAGTTTGATGGTCAAATTATTTGTTTCCGTTCGATACGGAAGCCTCGCTGAATAGCTGGTGAATATGGCTTTTTAAATACGCGAAAACATAGACCACATATATGAATAAGAGTTTTTTGTGGGTGTTTGTCTTTTTTTTTATCATAAGCTATCTAATAATATGTAATGCGGCTTTAAGTGACGCTTTGTGTATATGATAAATTGATAACTCACACAGCTAGAATTTTGTAGTGTGTTGTTTCTTTTAATAGATATTTTTCTCGAGTGGAATTCGAACTAGACACCTTTCATCAACAGGTTTTGTGTTTTAACTACTCGTCTAGCTGGCAATAACTAGTATTAGATTATGGAAAAATATCAACAAATGAGGCGCGTTTAAAATACACTAATGAAAAAAAAGTTAAATATTTGTAATTTAATTTTAGTTATCGCTTGTCCTAAACAGGCACCTGCTACTCATTACCATCTAACTAATTAGAAACGAAATACTAAAGTATTTAAAACAACAATTAGAGCACAAAAAACTTAACGTTGTTGCCAAAAAGAACTGCTTCGGTTTTTTAAGTAACTTCTGCCATGTTTGAGTTTTTATACGTAAAACGTAATTAATTATTAATGTAATATATTTAGATAATATAATTTACTGCATGCGCTTCATTCTGAGGCTTATTTGAAATTAAATCAATAAACTCTATTGTCACTTTCATAATAATCCGATAAATATCGAGATAATTGTTTGAAAGCTTGTGAGGCTTAAATCTTTAAGAATCTAATTAAAATTTCGTTCACACGATTTCCATTTTTCCAAGACTTTTCTACGCGTTGACTTTTTGTGACTGCACTGACACCTCACGCAAATCTTTTATGGTATAATCTAGACGAAAGTAACCGAAAATTGAATATAATCCTTAATAGGTATTAGGGATTATGTTCCATTTCCATGTTATAGCAAAATTCCCTCTTAAATTGTTCCTAATACGGGATTTTTTTTAAGCGAATGCTTGATATATTTTAAAGTTTATTATTTTTTTCTATGAAGTCTATTTTAAAACGAAATATTATAAATAAATGACTAAACAGATCAACTCCAAAACCTTACCTTCAATCGTTTCGAATTTTTAAACGATATCGATTATATCACGAGAATAATATTTTAGGTAGGTAGTTAATTACTTTGTCAGGCCAAATTGTGTCGGTACAAGTACCCACCGTTAGTTAGTGCAGCTGGATATGATTTACGTTCTCTTTTAAACTATGACATAAATTCCTTTACAATTATCGATAATAATCGACCGATTATATTACTGTAGCTCCAATTAAATTACGCAGTAGTTTCCAAATATAATGCGATCGCATACGAGAAATGACGATAATATAATAATGTAATACTTAATTCATATGCGACATTCTATTAGTCCTGGATTGAAAATTCGGAAAATTTCGAAACTTAATATGAAAAATTTTGTATTATGTACATGTTACATTTATACATTTATAAAGTCCTACCGCCTTTACATGATAAATTATCGAAAAATTCGTTTTTCTTCTTTGGAATCATAGTGGACACTCAAAAATAGACGAAATTTCGTATTCGGGGAAATGGAATGGGCCTTCAGATCTTCGATCAGATGTCATGTGAATTCGTATGGATATCTTTCATCTTCTAAAGATGCAATAAGTATAATTTATTAATAATTTCGATATTCGAACGACTAGTTCGATTGTCATAATTTCTCTTATGACAACTTTATACAATATTTCATATGACAACTTTAAAGTAGGTTATTTTTTATTTATCTGTAGACGCATACCTCTAGTTATGTTGTTAAGGGCTTGACATTTATAATTATATAAAATATCATTGATATTGCACTTCAAGCGATTAATGACAAGAAAATAAAGAATTTTAATTAGCTCAGTTGCTTTGGAAATGTCATGTATAATTGCGTGACCTATCATGAATGTGAAGGATTCAATATATTCAAAAGAAAAACTTTTGAACTATAAATTATTATAACATTAGTAATGACTTATTTAAAAACTAAGCAAATTTTTATTGAAGGATTTAATTAACAATACAAAAACCACTGTAAGGAAATAATATATCAGAAATAGATACAAAATAAGTTTTGGTATATTCTCAAATCATCAAACATTTTTTTGTGACTGCATTTGTTTATTTTCTGTGACTAAAAATGTATGAAATCAAGCGAGTGCGTTTTTGCTTTCGATGCGTAGTGTGCTGTGTATTTGTATGGGAACGCAAGAAGAGGTACAAGTGAGCCTTATGCGTGGTACTAAAGTTAGTCCTCGGTATAATAAAACGGCTGATTATGCGAACATAGAATATAAAACTAAATTAGTCGTGTTATTAAATAGAGTGCCACAGTTTTATAAAATATTAGGTAGTTTAATCATGATTTTTATCAAACGTGCGGGCGGTGCCGGCAGGCTGAATTCGCGTGCTTGAAGCAATCTGAAATAGGTAGTGTTCTTAAGGCCAGGTTTTATTATGGTGCTCACTCGCATACTAGTTTGTATATATTGTAATAATCGCGTAACTTGTTTTATTAATATGTAGTTATAGAAAAGAAATGAATTTTATGAAAAGATTTTTTTGGCGTAGTCGGATAAGGAAAACTTTATATTTATATTGTTAAGCAAGATACGTAGTAAAATCGTTATAAAAAACTACTTAAAATCATCTTCGACATTTTGTTCACAAAGTCTTCATCAATTTAAATATATTTTTTTTTGTTACAACCGCACTGCTTCACCAAGGGTAAATTTCTCCTCCCCTGACACTAGATTAATTGAATTTTATCACCCGGGTTATAGAATTCCATATTTTGTGTCATAAACTCACCCACTGCCAAATCGCCTGCAATATGTGACACGGTCGAAAAACACGGGCGGTGACAAATCGTTCCCGGCTGAGGCACAAAAAACTTCACGTTACAGTCACGTGGTCAGCTAAACTTCTTTATCGTTTTCTCGAAGCTACTATTATCTTTTACTTTATACATAAAAGGTGACATTCTTTATATCAGTTTTGTACCAGGAGGTTCTTCAATTTGAAATCACCCGCTGAATATAGATTGTCCATGCTCTTCCATTCTGACAGGTTGTTTACTTGTTGCATCCAATCGGAGATGATTTTAAGTAGTTTTCTTTTTCAACAGATTTATCCAGCAGGGTAGTTTATCCAGCATTATTATTAATTTTGCTAGTAGTAACGCGATAATACCATCTAAATTACTTGGATTTTGCCAATAAAATACCTGAGGCCCAATATCATAGTGCAATGTATTCATCACAAGTCACAAGGCAATGGCTAATTTTTCCTATTTTGTGATCTAGTAACAAGCGTTGAAATATCGGGGACTCGAAAAATATAAGGTACATTGTAGCATGATAACTTATCAATATGATGCATTTAGAATGATGTAGAAGAGTTAATATATCAGATCTTCAATATTGCAGTAAAAACAGAGATAACTCCCCGAACAAGACATTAAAAAACCTCACAGCATTCCTACTGAATGCCACTGACAATGACATCAAAACAACCAAACCGCATAACGAACTGCCCCAGATAGAATTTGCGTAATCAGTGCATCCATCAACCAAAAGGAATAAAGACAGAGACGGTAGACAGTCTGGCTCCCTCTCCGCTGCTTAAATCTAAAGAATGTCACTTTTGACGCAACTGTACACAAAACAATTGACCGCGCCGGACAAAATTGATTCCGCGTTCGTATAGTTTTTATGTTGTTACTATTAAGGTGCGTTTTATTTGACGCTTTTGTTTTAACTTTGTTTTATCGTGAGAACATTTTTCTTACCAACTAAACAGAACTCCTAAAACTGGGACAGGCGAAAGTGATCCATAGAGGTTCTGTGGTAAAGATATTGTTGCAGACAGCAAGGGGAAACATTTAATATTCATAAAGAAATATCTATGATATTTTTTTCGTGGAAAAAAATTCAACAGTCTCACTAATGACTGCGGCGATTGAATTTGGTTAGTGAAAATTACTGGCTAGAAAGAACTCCTTAGTAGTTTGGTCTTCATAATATGAATATATTAATTCCAAAGAAGTATATACAAACAACATTTAAAAAATATTCTTGCTGCAGTCTGCAGTGTGTAACGAATATAATATGTCCTTTTTTCGGACTACTTCTCATTTAGAAATACTGATTTGGAATTTCCGGTTTAGTACATATTTAGAAACACTGACTTTGGAACAAGATTCTAGCTGCCACCAGTAATGCCTTGTTTAACCGGCTATACTAGTTCAGTTCCGATATTGACCTAATTGCTATGAAAGGTAGTGTCCAAAGTAAACAAATCTGCAATTTTTAAAAAGAAAATAGGTAATCAAAAAGTGTTATTATCGAACTTTGAAAATTATTTTTAAAATGTCATTTCTACGCAAAAACCAATTTCAATGACTGGCATTTTTCTTTAAAATGCCAATTATCAATTATTATTTTAAAAATATTTTTATGTCACTAATTTATAATGTATTGAGGCAATGTTATCCACATTGCACATCACATTTTACAGACCCTGTCAGAATAAAAACGAAATTATAACTGTTACATCGACTCATAATAAATACCTTTTTGCTCTCTTTCAAATTAAATCTCTTTCAAGTAAGTAAAGTAATCTTTATGACAAATTTTTTCCCCAAATTGTAATTGATTTGTGGTGGATTCATTACATCTGCTAATCATCTCTGTCACACTCATATTTTACGTATTTACTCACGTGTCTTTTCAGCGGTTTTTACTTTTTTTAATTCACTGTACACACAGTCCTATAAATCTTACCGTATATTAATAATCTCCTGTATAGTAATATAAGGGTCTTACGAAGTGACCTTATCTATATTTTTTTGATAACACTTATTCCATCTTTCATTATTCTTATTGTACGGTTTGCACAATCTTTTATGATTTTGATTGTGATAAATGTATTAGATTAATTTAAAAATAATTATATTTAAATTAAAAAAAAAACATTATGATACGGCTTGCTCGTACACTTGTCCTCACTTATTATTCAGTAGTGAACATCTTTTCGACTTTCATTCTCTTGATATTGGTCAAAAAATGGTTTATCTTTTTTACACAACTGCCTAAAAGAGATGTATATTGTAATAATATAAATACATCTTAATTAGTGATGTATTATTTTTTCACGCGCACTATCCATAGATATGTAATAAATGTATTGTTTGAAGAAGGCTTATACTTTTAACTAAAAGACAATGAACACCTTAGTTTTATGTGAACACGAAACCATTAAACGGTCCGAAACATCAATAAAAGAATATAGAAATGCTATGAAACCGTTTTAAAGTTTTTACATCTTTATTTTTAATTCTAGAAATTGGTAGAATATCTGATTGAAATTTGTGTGTATATTTACATATTTTCCCTATATTTCCTATATCTCAAAACTAATATAAGCATATTATTGAAAAGCAATGTAGGTAACATATCATGTTAGCATGAGTTGAACTAATAACCTACTTTTGGTGCAGCCTTGACTCTACTAAGACCAAATTACTTAATTGTTATATGTATAATACATATATTTATAAACTAGGGGATTTGCATACATATTGGAATTTCCCTTTTTTCCTTAAAAAGCTAATTTCCAAAAATCCGATTCCAAAGAAATCGATTTTTTTATCTTAGTAGGTACATATTTTGGGATACACGTTGACATGTCAGTTAGTCGAATCAGTTTTTCATTATGTTTGTACCTAAATTAATTATTCATTACTAATCTATAATACATAAACAAGATCTTACACAAGAGATGTAATAATATCCATTCAATGTTCCTGGATATTTGAAACGCGCGCCTGCGTTTCTCCATTCAGCCACGCAACGAGTGGCCTTACGCCGTAAATCGATATTGGCGGCATCGATTAGGCAACACGAGCGATTTATACAGCGAGTTATCTAACGGATGTAGTGCATCGTAAATAATGCATTATGTTTATTATATTCTTATATCGATAAATCGTAAGATACTTCGAAACTAAGAGATCGATTTTGTGTAACGGGAAGTGGTGTTCGAGTAATTTGAGTGTATACGAGTAATGTCGTAGATATTGCAAAATGCAAAATTAAGACAATAAATATTGCTAAAATATGCAATTAATTTAGGCGTTAATGCGCTGAAAATTAAGTTTAATATCACTTAACGACAAATTATAATGTGGTAAACTGATGTATTACTATGAATCCAACGTTATTACAAAAATACCTGAGTATAAAAACTTATTTCCTTGACGTCTACAGGATCACAAAACCTAGTAATTAATTGAAATTTAAGAATATTAGTTGAATTTGGGAGCTAGAGATACTTTTTAAATATGCATCTCAATCAAGGAACCGCCGATGCATTGGTCATCAAGTACTAGGTACTTACCGTATTCGTCTTACCACAAATGTGTTTTGTATTGATATTTGCGCACCTACCTTAGTAAAAGGCATTAAGATTCAAACCATAATAAAATCATTTACAGACCAAATCAATATTTTAAATATAAATCTCAGTGATTTTCACTAGCTCTCGATCCCCTATAAGTGATGCAGGTTATCTCACCTTAAAATTTATTCAGACGTAAGCATACATGCAAAATGGAAGACCGCAATCTTCCTTGACATTAATCACGTCATTTCAAGTGCACGTTTGCTATGTTATGATAAAAACTATAAAGTTCTCAGCTACTTCCGAGCTGTCGAGGCTAAACGGCGTATAATTGGCTCGATACCAGTTTAGCAACATTATGATCACCTTCGCTTATAAACCTGGTCAATTTTAAACGACTTTAATGATATCGAATAAAGTAGATGGGTTTATTCAGAGATTTGTATTTCAAATGATTCAGCCATATATAAGGTAAAATATTATTATATGTTAGGTCTTCGTGGCGTGTTATTAGTTAAGCATACTGAACATCTTTTACTATGGGAGCAACACTGGATTCTCGAAAAAACAATCTGCTGTCAATGATCATAGATATTACAATTTTGTATGAAACGGCTGATTGTTATTTTTTCGCTTATTAAATGTTGCTACCATAGTAAAAGTCGTTCAGTATACTAAACTAATCCACTCCCCGAAGTCCTGGCATATATTAATATTAGATCTTATATTCATCGAAATGTAATTTTAATTATTCTTAAGTCAAATGAGGTTTGAGATGCACTTAAATTGTCAAACATTTTTTTACATAATATATTTTAGTTGACACGTACAATGAGTAAAAAACTTATTAGCTCTTTTAATAGTAGATAACGATATTCACATAAACTTTTTTATAACACCTTGAAGCATATTGAAAATTATAATCTCTACTAATAGAGATAAAGATTTTTAACTTTGTTTGTAGTCATCCATCTTCGAGAATACTAATCCCATAAACATAAGTAGTCTATCTGTGATTAAAACGGACAAACTCGCAGGGTAAACAGAAATATTTAATATTATATTATATATATAGCTATCGCAGTTTTGTCTAATTTATATTTAGAATTGAGCACTTTTGTTCATTTGTAAAAGAAAAAATATACTTTTTGTTTATTGACATCACTGGAACAATAATATAACTATAATAATATAAGCAAAAAAAAATACATAACCCTATAGTGCATTTTAGCTTGGAACTAATGGAATAATGCTAACGATGTCGTTCTATGTGAAGTGTTTTCGATAATCCGATTAATAATAATCTTTATCAACCGGGTTCTTTTCAAACTATTCCAAAGCTCCATAGGCTTACTCTGTTACAAAAAATGGCATTTTGCAATCATTTATGATACAACTGAGGCAGGAGCTGACTAGAGTCAGTAAATGTTTTCGAAAAATTATTATATGTTAAAACGAAAACCTTCACAGATATAATTTTATCAAAATTATGAACCATTCGAAATTTCTCAAATTTTCATCCGTGAACAAACAGAACAGGCCCTTAGATCGATCAGTCATTGGAATACCAAAATACGACGAGCGATCATAATCACGTCATATAAATT